TACGGTCTCTCCAGGCCTCAGGGCCCGCATGGGCCCCACGAGCCCCACGGGCCCTCGGAACGCTATAGGCCCTATGAGCTTTGCTGGCTCCACAAACCCCTAGCCCTTATAAGCCATGTTAACCCCGCGCGCATGATGGGCCCTCGGAGCCCTGAGAGCCTTGCGGGCCCTTCGGGTTCCCTGGGCCCTGGGGGCCGCGCGAGACCCGCGAGACTTGTGGGCCATCGGAGCCCTGTGTGCCCTATGAGCCTTGCGGGCTATCTGGGCCCCATGGGCTGCGTGCGTCCCACGAGCTTGATTGGCCCTCGGAGCCCCATGGACCCTGTGAGCTTTGCGTGCCCTTTGGGCTGTCTGGGCCCCAGCTGCATAAGCCCCACGATCCGTAGGCTCTCTGAGCCCCGCGGGCCTCTCGAGCCCCACGAGCCCTATGGGCCCTCGGAGACATACGGGCCCTATGAGCTTCGCGGGCCCTAAGGGCTCTCGCGGCCCTAGGGGCCGCGTGGGCCCACGAGCCCCGTGGGCTCTCGGAGCCCAATCGGCCCTTTGAGCCTTGCGGGCCCTACGGGCACTCTAGGCACCAGGGGCCGCGTGAGCTTCACGAGCCCTATGGGCGTCTGGAAGCCTATGGGCCATATGGGCCATGCGGACTCTACGGGCTCTCCAGGCCCTGGGGGCCACGTAAGCCCCACGAGCCTGATGGGCCCCTGGAGCCCTAAGAGCCATTCGAGCATTGCGGGCTCTACGGGCTCCCCAGGTCATAGGGGCCGGGTGAGCCCCGCGAGTCCTGCGGGCCTTGCCTTGCGTGCCCTACGGGCTCTCTGGGCCGAAGGGCCGCGTGAACCCCCTCGAGCCCTGCGGGTCCTCGGAGCCCTGTGGGCCCCGTGGGCCTTGCGTGCCCTACGTGAGCCCCACGAGCCATCAAGCGGGCCCTCTCAGCCTAGCGTGCGCTGTGGGCTCTCCCGGCCCCAAGGGCCGCGTGAGCCTTGCGAGCCCTGCGGGCCTTGGGAGCCCCATGGACCGTACGAGCCTTGCGTGCCCTGCGGGCTCTCCTGGGCCCCAAGGGCCGCGTGGGCCCCGCGGGCCCCGCAGGACCTGGGAGCCCCGCGGGCCCTATGAGCCTCGAGTGTCCTCTGGGCTCTCTGGGCCCCGAGGGCAGCGTGAGCCCCGCGAGCCCTGGGGGCCCTGGGAGCCTTCTGGGCCCTGCCAGTCGTGCGTGCCCTCGGGGCTCTCCCGGCCCGAAGGCCCACGTGGGCTCCACGAGCCACATGTGGGCCGTCGGAGCCCCTGGGACCCTACGAGCTCTCTGGGCCCCAAGGGCCGCGCGAGCCCCGCGGGCCCCGCGGGCCCTGGGAGCCCTGCGGGCTCATTGAGCCTTGAGTGTCCTGCGGGCATAGCCGGCCGCTCGAGGCCCCGCCTTCCTGTGCCCTGTCTCCCCAATTGAGGCTGTGCGTAGCCCGCCCAGCTTTTAGCGGAAGAGGTTCGCTCTCGCCCCGCGGACCAAAGAGTGTCCTACGGACATTCGGGGCCCCAGAGGCCGCGTGATTCCCACGAGCCATGTGGGCCCCTGCCACCTGCCACTGCGTGCGGTGGTGCACGGTGTTTCGCCGCCCATCCCCCTCATCGACTCATCTCACAGGCATTGAATTGCTGCGCGCGTCGGCAATTATCCAGTATCTTGTTCGCGGACACGGGGCCCATCGCCCGCGCACGAACACGCATGCCATGGCTTCTTCCCGTTACCCACAAATGACCAAGCCACCCCCGCACAACCCGAAGGCCCTAGACCCCCACTAGACTTCGGGTTGGGGTATGTGTTCCATTGTGTGTGTGTATATGTGTTCTGAATGTTCTGGACCCCCCCACTGGAAATCGACGGACCAAACGGCGACTTCGGGTTGGATAGGGGTGGTTTGCTAGGTCGTCATGTTCTATTTCTCAAGCCGAAGGCTTGCCGCCCCACTCAACAACACATGCGGTACACAGCGGCTTCATTGTCTGCTTCCTCGCGAGTTCAGGGCTCAGGCTTAATCTCAGGCCCACTGATCAATGCCATAGCGACCAAAATAACTGCGTGGCGGGTTGCGAGTACTTCAAATCGGCAGGCCTCATCAACAGTTCACAACATTGCGCAGGCAACGTCGCCATTACAATGAAAGGTGCGTCATGGACAGCGTCTGCGTACTGCGTCTTGCTATACGTCACGTCCACGCGCCAGCCATGCATGCCATTTCAGTCTGCGCGAAGTCAACGTGCCGCAACCATTTTGGCTCAAGACAGATGGAACTTGAGCGCGCGCGCGAGAAACGCATGCAGTGATATCCTTCGCACTCCATAGTTGACCTGGCCCGATCCTTGGCCCCAATGGGGGCCGCTATCGGGCGGGACACCCGCCCGCTTAGCCGGGCGCCCGCGGGAGACGAGGCGCCAGACGCGTGGTTTGGCTGCAACGTTTAAGGCGGGCTTGTTCCTCTACAGCAGGAATATCTAGAAATAGTCAAAAATAGTCTGGGGACGATTTTAGGATCATTTGCAATTTTTGAGTATTTTCTTCCTTTTCTTAATTTTCGTCCAACATCCGCCTGTAGGAGGACATGCCCGACCTAAGCGTAGCCGGGCGCCCGCGGGAGACGAGGCGCAAGACGCGGGGGCCTGGCTTCAACGTGCGATCGCTCCTCGCCCGTGCAGACGCCCAGGGACACCCTAGGCCGCTAGCTGCTGGCGGCCGCCGCTGGTTGCTGGCCACCACAGGCTGCTGGCCAGCGCTGCTCGCCGCAGGGCGGCCGCCGCCGGCGGCCACCGTCGACCCGCCGCGCGTCGCGTCGCCAGAGGCCCCCGCAGTGCAGCCGCGAGAGGGCGCGCGCGCATCTTCCTCGGTCGGCAAGGGCCGGCCTCCGCGTGCGCCGAGGCCTGCGCCCAGGCCGGTCGCGCCAGTTCGGCGGGCAGGCACCGAGCCAGAGCCCGGCGTGGAGTTGTGCGTGTCCTCCGACGGCGCATCGCGCACCGACGAGTGCCAGGAATCGGGGGAGGCAAAGCCACCCTGCCCTGCTTGACTGTTCCTTCCCTGGGCGCGTTGACTGAACGGTTTCGAGTGTCGGGGTGGTGATGATGATGGAGGGAAGTCCCTCGATGGTGGATGATGATGATGATGATGATGATGATGATGATGATGATGATGATGATGATGATGATGATGATGATGATGATGATGATGATGATGATGATGCTGATGCTGATGATGATGATGATGATGATGATGATGATGATGATGATGATGATGATGATGATGACGGATGATTTCGAGTGTCGGGGTGGATGATGATGATAATGGTGGTTCGAGTGTCGATGTTTCGACTTCTAATGGAAGTCCCTCGGCGGTGAGCTCCGCCGAGGGCGCGCGCGCGCGTCGGGCAGCAGCTCGGCGGCGTCGGCCGCAGGGGCGGGCGCCGAGCCTGCCCGTCTGCGGAGCGGCGGCCGCGGCAGGGCGGGAGGTGCCTGCCCGCTGCCCCGCTGGCCCATGACCATCGACATTGACATCTGGACGCCCGAAATGGGTACGGTAGGTTTGCGTCGTGTCGACCAGCGGCGACCCCAGCGCGGGCGTTCAAGGTTGAACGCCGCCGGCGACCCAGAATCGGTCGACGTTGAACGATCGGACGTTGCGGCAGCGGCCGATCGTTCAAGGTTGAACGATCCCTGCGGTGTCAAAAACCAACGCTGGGGTCGACACGACACGAACCTGCCGTACGGAAAGAATGGGTACAATGCCCAACAGCGGTTCCTGTTCATTTCGAACAGGACTCGTTGTCCGCGCCGCCGCGGCCTGTGTCCATTTGAGACAGAAGACCGCCTGCCCAACAGCGGCCGCTGTTGATTCGGGGCAACATTTGCTGTTGGGCAGTGTGCCCATTGTTTCCGTGGCCATTTCGGGCGTCCAAATGACAGAGTTGCTGCTTTCGTTCGGGCGTCGCTTGTACGCCCGCCGTTTGTCTCACCGTCGCCCCCTTCCTCCACACCTCAGACCCGCGCGCGCCTGCGGCAGAGCGTGGGCTCTCCTGCGACGCGGGGGAGAAGGCGCTCGGCGTTTTGGCCGCGCTGGAGTCGGAACTGGTGCAGGCTGCCTCTTCCTCCTCTGTCCCCATGACTTGTGGCAGAGAGAACCAGTACGTTTTCAACGTTTGGCGCTGCTGCACTTCCCGCGCAAAGCCCAGTGCGATCTCTGATGATTGAGTGGTTCCCGTCGAGGGCGTTGTGTGTGGGTGCGCGCTTCGTTAATCTCAGCATTTAGTCGTTACCATCGCTCGGACGTGTGCTTTTTTCCTTGGCGAGGACCAACGGAGAGCATCAACGCACGAAGACGAAAACAACGCATCGGGAATGGGCGTCTGAGCGATGGCAAGGATTTAAACTAATCTGCCGAGCCCGCAGGAGGACTCCTTGGACCATGGATGGACCTAAACGCTGTTCTGCTGGACTTCGGTTGTACTTTGTTTTTCGTTTTGGGAGGGAGGGTACAGGAGAACAGATGGAGCAAACCGAACAACCACACGAAACCATAACGAAAAACAACGTTTAGGTCCAGCCCTGCCTTGGACCAGACGCCCCGCGGCCCATTTAAGTTTCCGCTGTGCTTACAGAGCTTCGGACGTCTTCTCCGCATTATCCGCATCATCCCTCTCCTGCCGTCTTGCTCTTTCTACGTATCTCCTGACCCTCTCTCTTCATCCTCGACGCAATGTTCACCGTGAGTGAGTGCGTCTGCGCAGGCGTCTGCAGCATTGCAGCTCATGGAAGCATAGACGCATGCACGCCCCGATGTCGGTGAATGCGTGTTGTTGTTTCTGGATGGCTTTACGCGACCAGTGCGATGCCGTCTCGCGACCTGGCTGATATCAGGAGGGAAGAAAACACACAGACACAATTAATCGTCGATTCCCAGGAAGATATGGAAAAATATAGGCAGTGTGTGGGGGGAAGACAGAAACCCAGAACATGTTGGAACATACGGGGGATCCTTTCATCTGTGTGTATCTATTTGTGTGTCCCAGGGCACCTAGCGCGATTTGAGATTCGACGCAGTGGGTAGGTCCAGCCCAAGTCATTTTGGAGAGCAGGACTGTGGTCCAACCAGATCCGGCGGGCTGTGTTATTTATTTCTTTGCGAGGCGTGGAGCGTACTTGCACCCCTGTGCAGACCGTGCCAGGCTGGCTGGCACGGGCAGCACCACCGTCGGTTGTGAGGTTACTTGCGCAGGGTTGTCGCAGGCTCAGAGTCTCAGAGGCTGCAGCCGCGCCCCCTCCTTGACTGTCTCACCACGCTGAACAGTGATCCCGGCGCAGGATCCAACCATCTGCAGGTGTGAGTACTCCAGATTTCGTAATAAAGGGAGGGGGGTCTCGTTTCTCGTTTCGGGGGGGGGGTCTCTTCCAGGCTATCCAAGATCGTCCCCAGACCCCCCCAGGCCCTCCAAGATAGCCTGGAAGAGACCCCCCCCTCCCTTTATTACGACATCTGGAGTACCTCGAATGTGAACCTACTCTTCGGTGTCGATCTCTCTGGAGGGGGGAAAGCTGGCCGCGGAGAGCGGGCGAGACCTCCGAGGGGCCTACGCCGCGAGAAAACCGCGGCGTCGGGGGCCCGGGGCAGGGGAGTCCTTCCCAGCCCAGGGCCCGCGGGGGCGCCCCCGCTGTGGGCCCCGAGGGCCCTCCGAGCGCGGCTCGAGGCCCGCAGAAACTGGACGCCAGGAGCGGGCGCGCCCCTCCGGCCCCCGCTGCAGCGCGGCCCCTCCGCCCTCCCGCGCACTCCCCCTCTCCGCCTCCGCCTCCGCCTCCTCCTCCTCCTCCTCCGCCTCCTCCTCCTCCTCCGCCTCCTCCGCCTCCTCCTCCTGCTCCTCCTCCTGCTCCTCTTCCTCCTCCTCTGCCCTCCTCCTCCTCCTCCTCCTCCTCCTCCTCCTCCTCCTCCTCCTCCTCCTCCTCCTCCTCCTCCCCGCGCCGCCGCGCCCGCCCCTCTCGCTGCTGTCCCGAGGGTGCTCCGAGGCGCTGCCCGTCGCCGCGCCAGGGCCCCGCGCCTCCCCGCGCTTCCCCGCGCCTCCCTGGCCAGAGGGCTCCCAGGGGGGGCTCCGGGCAGGTGGGGTCGGAGGATCGCGCCGCCTCGGCGATGGACCGGCGACGTCGGCGGTGCATCGGCGCCGTCGGGGCGGAGAGCCTCGCGCTCCGCATGGAGCGGCGTCTGCGGTGCACCGGCAGTGCGGCGCGATCCTGCGACCCCCTCCTGCGTGCTCGGACCGCACATAGCCGGAGGCGTTTGTCGCACGACGCGCAGCTTCGGTGCTAAGCTGCCTGGGAGACTACAGAAGCAGGGCTGGTGCCCATCGTCAGTGCTGGTAAAGTGGGTATCTGAGGGGCCGTTCAGGGACTAGCGACGAGAGTGCCACCGCGATGTTCGTCTCCTGCTAGGTGTCGGAGGCTCTGCACGCTTGTGCGAAAACTGATGGAGAATAACGTCTGGGAAAATATGTTCTCCTAATCAGTGTCGAACAGACCTGCGGAGTTGTTCTCCTAAGCAGTGGCGGGAATATCCGTGGAGTCGCCCGCACGAGGATGCATTTGAACCCCGTTTTCTTCCTCACCTTACTCTCTTCAGCAGTGGCGAGAAGTCACCCGGACGAGGATGCACTTGGACCAAGTTTTCGAAAGCGCCAGTGGATCACCTCGTAATTGAAAGGGGTGGGTGCTCCCAGAACCCCCCCCCCTCCCCCCATTCAAGGGGGGGGACATTTTCGGACCCCCCCTCCCCCCTCCTTTCAAGGGGGGCGGGGGGTGGGTCCAGACTCCCCCCCCTTGAAAGGGGGAGGGGGGTGGGTTCCGGACCCTCGCCCCCCCCCCCCCCACCCCCTGGCGCTGGAGACGGGGGGGCGGGGGGGCGATTTCGGTTCCCCCCCTTCAAGAGGGGGGGGCAGGTGGGGAGGCTCTCTCCGCTCCAGAGCGCGGGAGGCTGGGGTTACGGTGGTGGTCAGGGTAGAGGTGGGGGCTAGGGGTTTGGGGTCAGGTTAGGGTTTTGGGGTTAGGGTTAGGGATTAGGGTCAATATTAGAGATTCGGGTTAGGGGTTAGGGTAGGGTTTAGGGCTTAGGGTTAGAGCATAGGGTTGGGGTTAGGGATTAGGGTCAGGGTTAGGGGGGGGGGCTAGGGGTTTGGGGTCAGGTTAGGGTTCGGGTTCAGGGTAGGGGCTAGGGTTAAGGTTAGGGGTTAGGGTAGGGGTTAGGGGTGGGCTGGGGGTTAGGGTTAGGGTTTCGGGGTTTGGATTAGAGTTTAGGGTAAGGGTTAGGGATTAGGGTCAGGCTTAGGGGTTAGGGTAGGGTTGATAGGGGTTAGGGTTAGTTCGTAAGGTTAGGGTTAGTTCTTAGGGTAAGGGTTAGGGATTCGGTTTAGGGTTAGGGACTAGGGTTAGGCGTAAGGGGTAGGGTTCGGGTTTAGGGTAGGGGTTAGGGTTAGGGTGAGGGTATTCGGGGTTAGGGTTTAGGGTTGAGGTATGGGTTAGGGTTAGGGTAGGGGTCAGGGTTAGGGGTCACGGGTTAGGGGTAGGGTTAGGGTTTAGGGTCGGGGTAAGGGTTAGGGCTTAGGGTTAGGGTAGGGGTTAAAGGGTAGGGGCCAGGGTTAGGGTAGGAGTTAGGGTTGGGATTAGGGGTTAGGGTTAGGGCTTAGGCTTAAGGTTAGGGATTAGGGTTAGGGTTAGGGGTTAGGGGTGAGGGTTTAGGGTTGAGGTTAGGGTAGGGTTAGGTAGGGGTTAGGGTTAGGATTAGGGGTTAGGTCCAGGTTAGGGTTAAGGGTAGGGGTTAGGGTTAGGGGTTAGGGTGGGGGTTAGGGTAGAGGTTAGGATTAGGGTTAGGGTAGGGGTTAGGGTAGGGTTAGGGGGTCACGGTAAGGGTTTAGGTTTAATATTGGGGATTGTGGGTTACGGTTACGGGTCAGGGTAGAGTTTAGGGGTTGGGGTTAGGGCATAGGGTTTGGGTTAAGGATTAGGATGAGGGTCAGGGTCAGGGATGGGGGTAGGGGTTAGGGGTTCGGTTAGGGTTAGGGTTCAGGGTAGGGGCCAGGGTTAAGGTTAGGGATTAGAGTAGGGGTTAGGTCAGGGCTGGGAGTTAGGGTTTAGGGGGTTGGATCCGGGCTTAGGGTAAGGGTTAGGGATTAGGGTCAGGGGTAGGGGTTAGAGTAGGGTTATGGGTTAGGGTTAGGTCTTAGGGTTAGGGTCAGGGATTAGGGTTAGGGTTAGGAGCCAGGGTTAGGGGTAACGGGTAGGGTTCGGGTTAGGGGTAGGTGTTCGGGTTAGGGTTAGGGTAGGGGTCAGGGTTAGGATCAGGGTTAGGGCGGGAGTTAGGGTTCGGGTAGGGGTTAAGGCTTAGGGCTTAGGGTAGGGGTTAGGGTGGGGATTCAGGTCTGAATTAAGGGTTAGGGTAGGGGTTTGGGTCAAGTTAGCCAGCTCGACCGAGCCAGAGGGCTCCGTCCACTCCCACCCGCCCTCCCACAACATAAGAAGCAAGTGCGTCGCGGCCGACGCCTGTCGCTCATCTTATATTGTGGGCGGCTAAACGTTCAGCGCGCGACATGAGCTGCGTCCTATTCCTGCCGCGTGTTGAGCAACGTCGATGAGAAACAAGACCGCGCGCGATGTACGCCGCGCCCAGCTCCTCAACCCGACGGGCCGCAGCGTCGACGACAAGGAAACGTCCATGTTGACGAGCAGGCGCCCCCGCGCGATGTGCGCCGCGTCCCATTCCCGCTACGCGATTCGCAGCGCCGACGAGGAGAAAGAGAAATGTTGGCAAGACAAATGTAGACGTTGTGTTTTTTTTTGCAGGTAGGACGGGGGGTCCCGCGTAGGGTTGGCAAGGCGCCCGCGCGCGATGTGCGCCGCGTCCCATTCCTGCTACACTTTTCGCAGCGTCGACGACACGAATGCCCATGTTGACGAGAAAAAACGTTGACTTCGTATTGTTTTTGATGGGTAGGACGCAACCACCCGCTTAGGGTTACCCGACCGAATTTCATTCCGTCCCATTCATGTTGCACTTTTCGCAACTCGACGACATGTTGGAGAGAAAAAGTTGTGTTTGTGTTGTTCTTTGACCGTTCGGGCGGCGGGATTGCTATCGGCGGGCTAGGTGGGGATGTTGGGGCGTTAATCATCATAAATAAAGATAGAGGTCCAGGTCGGCGAGGGCAAGGGTCAGGGTTAGGAGTGGGGGGTCGGGAAAGGGGTTAGGGGTTCGGGCAAGGATTGGGTTGAGGGTTAGGCGTGGTAAGGATCAGGTTCTGGAGCCAGGGGGCGGCGTGGCGAAAAAGGGAGGGGGGGGTCCGAATGTCACGCTCAACGGGGAGGGGGGTCCGGACCCTCCCATCCCTTTAAAAAAGGGGGGGGCCTGCCGGCGACGGATCGGGAAAGTGGGGGTGGGGTCCGCCGACGATGGAGCGGGAAGGGGGGGGTCCGCCGATGACGGATCGGGGAAGTGGGGGGGCTCCCCAGACCCCCCCCTTTTTGGGGCATCCAGCGGCGCGCCCTCAACTTTTTTTCCTCACCGTGTTCTCCTAAGCATTGGCGGAAAAATCCGTGGAGTGCGGGCCCGACGCATCGGTGCACTACGTCCAGGTGTCCCAGCCTGGTTAGTGTTTGCAGCCGAATGCCCAGGCAGTAGTTATCACAGGTGACCCCCTGAGGTTGCTGTAATTCTCTGGCGTTCCCCAGGGGCCGGGTTAAGTCGGGCCTGTCCTTCCACAGGAGGAATATAGAACAATAGTTTAGAAAATAGTCGGGGAACGTTTTTAGTGTGACTTTTTTTTGAACAGTTGTTGAATGTGCTTTGACAGCGGTTGATGTTTCATCCTAAACCCACATGAAGGGGGACATGTCCGTCCCTGGGGGGACTTCTTACGGGATGTCGTGCCCCTGGGAAGGGACGTGAGGGAGGGAAGCAATAACGATCTTGGCAAACTCCTTTCCGTATTTGGCGTAGCACGTGCGACGCCCAGGGGGGGCGGCCCGTCCACTCATCTTCCCACCATAGGAGGAGGTGCGAAGTCCCTGTGGACGGGATGGGGTGGGCGCTGAAGGGAACCATAGGCCTTTCACAATCCAACGGTGGGCACCATATGCTTGCCGCTACCAGTTGGAGGTGCACCATCTGTCCTCCACAATTTGCCATATTATTACAACACCCATTGAACTGTGCCATCTGATCTTGCAACCTCTCTCCAACCCAGAACCGATGCGGCACCATCCTCAGGACCGGCGGCGAGCGAGGGGGGGATCGAGAAGGAGAAGGTTTTCTCAGAGGGCTCGGAAGTCCCCCGACCTTCTGAGAAGTTTTCCAGGCCTTCCCCGAACACGCAGCAAACCTCTCAGAAGGCGCGAGGGTTTCTGAGAAGCCCCGCCGCCTTTCGAGATGGCCTTGTCCTTTTCACTTCCCTGCCTCGCTCGCCGCCGATCCGTGTGTCGTGGACGGCTTGCTTCCGTCAGAGGGCTCGTTGGGGCACCTTCAGCGGTGGTTGCAGTGAGCCCCTGGCATCTACAGTTCGGGGGTCTCCGCTGCTTCCGTAGCTTCCACCCAGAGTTCTGCTCACGTAGAGCCGTCGACTCTCAGGACCTCCGAGGGCCCTTGCGCTGCTTGCCTCCGCCCACCCGTGCACTGAACCGAGCGCTCCTGCGCACTCTTAGGCTACTGTTGCATTTCTCGAGTACAGTCGGCCCAGATTAGTGGGTCGACCCTGCCAGCTCAAGGGTGCCCTTGTGACCCGTGCCTCGCGACACGTGCCTTCTTGCACTCCTATGGCGATGTGGCCCTCGGAAGGGTCTTGTGCCTTCTCGCGTGTCCTGTCCAATCAGGGCAGACTGTAGGGGGATCGACGACACAATCTGCTCACACCAGCATTGATTTCCCGCCGAACTCACTGCGAGGCATACTTCCACTGCTCCGTAGATCTGCTAAGCTGTGCTGCATATGTTTCTGATGGGTTCGACGAGAGATTTAGAGGAGGAGGAGGAGGAGCAGGAGGAGGAGGAGGAGGAGGAGGAGGAGGGGGAGGAGGAGGTGGATGAGGAGGAGGATGAGGAAGAGGAGGAGGAGGAGGGCGGAGCAGGAGGAGGAGGAAGGGGGGGACAATTCTGGGGCAAATCATTTCTGCAGTCGACCCCCCACTCGCATCTTACAATGACACCGCACCGTACCGCCTCGCGACCCGCACCGCCGCGCGCGCCCTCCGCAAAAGCCCCGCGCGCTGGCCGTGCCTCCCCGCCGCGGGAGCAGAGCCGCGCCTGTCCCGGGCTCTGCCTCCCGGCTGGACGCTGCAGCTCGGCGACGAGTCGGGGTCGGCAAAGAGGGGGGTGGTGACTACGGGGGGGTGGATATCA